GCAGTACAACGCGAATCAGCTGGCGTCTTGTGAGATTGACCTACGGATATCTTCCATGTGAAATGAAACTCTTCACAATACTCTTATCTCAGGAGATTTTTCGGCACCCACATTTTATTAGTATATGCATTTATTAATTCGTTCATCCAGTTCTTGATGTGTAAACCGTTGTTACAGGAAACCCTTTATTTTCTAGCCTTAAGGCCTTCCGTCGGTTCCCTGATTTTGATTGCATGCTTCTCAATCTCCTAATACTTCCAACATTTTCTTTACATAGTCAGCCTGATACATAACTATCACTCATCCTCCTCTGTCTGCCCTCAATACTTATCCTCCAGACCTAGGCAAACCTTTTCTGAGGCTCTTAGTTTGGAAGACTTCTTTAGGCTATACGACAAATTTTTTTCGCAGTTAGAAAAGAGAGACGATAGGAAATAAGGAAAATTTGGTGTAAGAATCAGCTTAACGATGCAATCAATAGCCGGCAACCTTCTCTCTTGGTTTGGTATATTGTTACGTAATTTGGGAAAGCATGGATTTCTGCTCTGTCGAAGTGGGGCAGAACGCTTATCCCATGTTTATCGGGGTCGCATGACGGTAAGCCGCAGACTTTTTTGCACAATTCAACAATTTTCTCTCTGCGGCAATTCCCCTTCGGTTTCCAATGAGACCATTCACGAATTCCTTTCAACCGATTTTTCTTTCGAAATGCAAACTCGAGTCAAAATATTCGTATCGTCAAAGGCGAAGTAATTACTACTCACGCATAGGTTGAGTACTCTTAGAATGGAGGCTATACTTAATCTTATCCATTCTGTAATCTTTGGATGTTCCTTCAGAGTGTACGTTAGCGCCTGAATGACTCTCTCTCTTAGTCTGCATAGACACAACATCAAAACTTAGTTGTGTATCATCAGAAATTATCTAGTGATTAACCTTTCTTACAAATTCATGTGAATTATTGACTAAATATAGCCAAAATTTGGCCTCCTTGCTTAATTGTCTGCATAGCAGGCATCAGATTTTGTGCATCCCACATGATTATTATTTATCACACTCTACCAGAAAGGGATTTCTTCCCATTACCTGACCTTTCGTCATGTCTGTCAATTCATACTTTTTTCTGCTACTTCGGTTTTCTCGACTACACTAGCGTCTATACGAACAAGGCCGTCTGCTGCTCAACCAGGGGATTCAGAACCAGCAGATTTCAACAGAGGGTGCAGCGCGTCTAGTCTCGGCTCTGGCTGATCAGGAGACGGCGCTGCGCCTGGCACAACTCTGCGCTGAGCAGTTCCGTCATAGTCAAGCCTGGGTTCAGCTGACCGCTGATCTCTTGCAGGATGTTGAACAACAGACGCCTGTTTGGCTGACCACCATCGCCCGGCTTAGCCAGGCCAAGCTGCAAACTCCTGGCGGAGATAGTGACTGCATCGATAGTCTGGCTGCTAGCGAAGCGCTCTGTAATTATAATAACTGTATCTATTTCATATGGTTTTAATGTATTTTTTTCGCTTTAGGAGCTCATATAATCATCAATTATGTTTCACATTGTGTCTCTTCCTTGTATTATGAATTAGCGGAATGACCCTTGGATCCACTTAAATCAACACAGCATAGAGATTTTATGTAATGCATTAATTTAAAACTTTTAATCGAAGATACAACGACCAAGATGATGTGGCCTTTGGTATGGTCGCATTCTCTTTTCGATGTGTAAAAGTGGGTTGATCTCGTTTTCGCAGCTTGGTCTTGTTATCAGCGCGACTTAGTTGGACGTACCTTGTCCTAAGTCTTGTATCTTTCACGAGTTGTAGTTTGGCGCTGAGAATGGCAAGAGTTACTGTTGATGCCGATTACGATGCTGGCGAAACATCTGAGAATGTACCAAATCCATGGTATGACGCTGGGAAATATGATAACTACTATGGCAGAGGACTTCGGGCAAGGTGCGTTCAACTAAGTCGCCTTGACAACAAGATAAAGTTGCGAAAACGAGGTCAACCCACTTTTAAAGTTTTTACGTTTAGATGATGTGGATGCAACAAATTCATGCTCATTATTATTTTTATGGTTTTCTCACATTCTCTGTTTTATGCTGGTTTAGCTGTTAGGTGTTGAGCGAATTTTTTTGCTGTGAACCCATTCTCGTTTTTTTCTCTAGAATAGATCAGCATGAGGATGTGCTTGGCTCTAAAACTAAGCTGGATACAGCAGAATAGCGGGCCCCGCGATTTTCAATCACTAACCGCAGTCTTTGGTAGTGTAACGCTTTTCTTGTTGAAAATTCATTCATTTTCTCCCAGAAATCTATGCCTATGATTACTATGAGTGCGTTAGCTGATCGTATTATTATTAAATTAACTGATTGGCGTAGCCTGTTTAGAATAAGATATCTTACAGTCATTTCGATATGGCTAATATATTTGACTTTTTTCGCCCTTTACTTCATTTTTCCGGATATCCATCCTATTTAATTGGCATGCATATCAACTCTACTCCGTACCCACTTATTTATTCCCACTTGCATCGCGTCCTGATGTGGCAGAACACCTCACCACTACAATTCTTTTTATCTCAATCATCACTTGTCAAAGGGAAATGTTAAGCACAATTTGCCCGCTTGTAGTTACAACGAAAAGCTGGGTTCGGAACAATCCCTTACTAGAGTGATGTTGGGTTGCCCTTCATTTCGTTGAGAGGCCTGTGGAAGGGACTGGTTATTATAATATTGACTAGATTTATTTGAATAAGTCCTCGGAGCATCGTCCCGCGACGCCGAACACGGATTCCTTGGACTCACCGGACTGTGAGCTAAACGGTTAATGCTTAAATCGTCAACCATAACTGCGAGGAATCTTTTGATTCCGTTTCTTCTTGCCAGTTTACGCATCTCTTCTTTCAAATTCTTCATTCAACTTAAAGGTTTAATGGTAGGTAATAATTGAGGAATTTTTTTTAACTCAGTTTTTTATCATGCACATGTGTAGATATGTCACTTAACTGAAGCAGACTACATTAATTTAACTTTATCTCTCCAGTATTTCCTTTTTAAATTTAGCTGACGCCATGGTTATGGTTCTCTCTCGCGCCATCACCCTCTCCTCTCGGCATGCTATTTACTCAACCGCCTACAATGCGCATTGGTGAGTGAATAGGCTAAATAAAGATATGAAATGTATTCACCCTATTTCGTTTAAGTTGATAAAGGACTGGTAGTAGAATTTAATGAGTTGAGCTGACGTTTTCCATTGAATTTCACATAGCCTTGCTTTCCCAAAAGTTGTTCTCATCCAGGCTGGAGTGGACTGCAGTTTCAACCTCGCATCGGTCTTATCAACACTCCCAGCGGGAGTCGAACCGTGACAGTGCAGAATGGGACCTTGACACGTTAATTACTAGACCACATTGCCAAAAGTGCCCTTGGGTCACAGGGCATATGCGAATG